ATCGAGGGATGGGTATACCCACTGATTTGATGACATCATAATAAATACACCCTGAAAAACCTGTTGCATTGACGACACATTTCACTGGGACAAGTCTATAGAATCTGCGTTCTGGCACTCATTGGAATACATAACCCACTATGGCAGGAATGGAATAGTTTTCAACACCAACAAGTCTCAATTTGCAGAAGATGAAGTAGATTTTTCCTGCATCTTCATAATGGCTGATGGTATAAAGCTAACCAAAAGAATAACAGAAGCCATTCTCAACTTCCCTACTCCTACAAATATCACAAGTTTCAGGTACTGATTAAGAGTAGTGAATCAAGTATTGTACGCAATCTCACAGGCTGAGGCAACAGCCCCCTTCCAAGAACTGTTACGTATGAAAGACCAAAAATTTTACTGGAACGCAACACAAAACAAACTTTTTGAAGAGTCAAAATGAAATATTGTACAGAAGATCAAAAAAGGGTCCCAAATTTTGAGATGGATAGGGTGACATGTCTCTCAACGAACATTAGTAAGACTGGCATTGGGTACTTCCTTTTTCAAATATACTGCCAATGTCCAGCAGAATCATGTCCTAACTGTGGTGAGAACTACTGAAAAATAATCCTAGCTGGGTCATAGTTTACACCAGGCACAGAATCCTGCAACTTCCCCATAGAAAGGGAAACCCTAGCCCTCGTGTATGGTCTGGAGTCCTGTAAAATGTTCATATTTGGGATGTCTAGAATTACTGGTCACAGTGGATCACCAGCCACTGGTTAAAATATTTTCAGAACAGGTCCTAGAGAATATAAAAAACTCTGCCTGTTTGCTTTCGAAGAATGGTTGCTGATGTACAAGTTCTGCATTAAACACATTCCAGAGAAGTGTAACACTGCACCTGATTGCACCTCCAGATATCTAGCATCACCAAAATACATCGACCAATAACACAATCCAGCATATTGACAGTGCCATGAAAGCATCAATTGCATCTGCATATACACACAACCCTAAATTGATAGCTATAACCTGGGGTAGGATTGTGACTGCTGCAGCCACTGACAATGAATGCTGTATGTTAGTAGAGTATATTCAAAACAGATTTTCTGAGTCACACCATGAATTACCACCAAAAATCTGATAAGTTTGGCAGATGGGAGACCGATTGTATTGCCTGGAAGGTGTGCCTATAAAGAACAAAATCTTTATACCAAGGCAGCTTTGTGCTAAGGTACTCAAGGCCCTCCACTCCATGCACCAGAGTGTCAATGGAATTATGGCGAATACATGACAATGGATGTTTTGGCCAAGCTTGAATGCCAGTGTTTGACAAACAAAAGCCCAGTGCTGGATATGTAACACAATCACTTCGTCTCAGCCCAGAGAACCCCTGATGCTACCACCAAACCCAGAATTTCTTTTCCAAAAGAGGGTCATGGACCTTTTCAACTTGCATGAGAAGGGTTATATGATGTATGCAAACCTGTACACTGGCTGGGTAGAAGTAGCTTCACTACTATGGAGAAAGGCAAATGCAATATGCAAGGTCATGCAAGATTAGTTTTGTACATTTGGCACACCGAAAGAGATATCTTTGAATGATGGAACATCAATCAACTCCCAGGAGTAAGATTAATTCCTTAAGGACTGGGCTATATGGAAATGAACATCCTCAGCACGTTACCCTCAGACTAATGGACAAACAGAACTAGCTGTAAAAACAGCCAAACAAACGTTAATGGATTACACTAACGGATATGGTCACCTGCAACTTGATTGTATTGCATGGGCCATGCTGAACCATCAGAACACATCCAATCAGGATATCACCAGCTGAGATACTATACAGCTGCACAATAAGAGATCACCTTCCCATACTTCACAAGATGTACAAAATACACAAGTTTTGGAAGGAGATCAAGGAATTGAGGAAAACAGTGATGGTAAAAAGTTACCTACTAAACCAGAAGCAGTACAAGACATCCAGAATGAACAAATGGTTGTAAATAGAATATTCAGGTTTTCTGAGATTTTCCTAAAACTTTAACCTTCATTCAAGAGCTTAACAATCAGTTCCTTTTGAAAATATCTCAATTCTTTACCTCTTGCCATGATGATAACCTAGAATTTCGACTTGAATAATCTAGAATATTAAAGAAATTTAAAAGTTTTAAAATCTGAAAGTTGCATTGTACAAATATTTTCACCCATTAAAATGGATAAATGAGATTTATTTCTATTAAATCAATTTCATTTTCTGTTTTCTCTGCCTATTTAATGATGTATCTGTGTACAGTTAATTATATAAAAAGTATATTTATTCATTAGTTGGAAATACAATAAATTAAAAATGTGTATGAATATTTGTTTCCCCCCACTGTAGAGAGATAGGAACAAACTGACATAGACATGTAAGAACAGACTGACATAGATAGATAGATAGATAGATAGATAGATAGATAGATAGGAACTAAATGATATAGAACAGAACAAACTGACATAGACACATAAGAAAAGACTGGCTTAGATAGATAGATAGGAACATACTGACACAGATTGTTAGATAGATAGATAGATAGATAGATAGATAGATAGGAACTAAATGATATAGAATGGAACAAACTGACATAGACATGTAAGAACCGATTGGCTTAGATAGATAGATAGATAGATAGAGAGAGAGAGAGAGAGAGAGAGTACGCACTGAGTTAGATAGATAGATAGATAGATAGATAGATAGATAGATAGATAGATAGATAGATAGATAGGAACTAAATGATATAGAACAGAACAAACTGACATAGACACGTAAGAACCGATTGGCTTAGATAGATAGATAGATAGATAGATAGATAGATAGGAACATACTGACACAGATAGATAGATAGATAGATAGATAGATAGATAGATAGGGACAGAATGGCATAATTATGTTGAGAATAAATATTATTGTGCCATGACTTCTATGTATTAATGTACCTGAGTAAATTTTGTTGATGGTTGTTATCTGCTCAGTGCTTCATGGTTCATATGGCCTCTTGGTGAGCTTTCTGCAATTGAATTGTTCCACTAAGTTGGCTGATTAGCTTCATACCTAGCATCTCTATTCTGAGGAAGTTTAGGTTTTTTGTTGGGGGGGGGGTTCATTCCCTTCGCTGACCATGTGTTTTCATGCTGGCAAGTTTCATCTACTTGAATCTTAGAATTCTGAGTTTCCTTCTCCTAGACTGGTTGCTAACCAAAGCTGAAGAGCAAAACCTTCTCCACTATTTGACCTATAGCTGGAGGGAGAAGAGATGGATTTATACTTTTCCTAAGGATATTTACATGAAAGTGAATGAAACAAACACAATGAATACAGACTCAAACCACCAATTTCTTGTCCTATGCCACTAACCATTGCACCACCACACATCCATGAAGTTTTACTGATATAAAGTGTTTTTTTTTTAAATTACATTATTTGGTAATTAATATTCAAAGAATCAGTTTGAGTTGCCATTTCAGATTAACTCTTATTGATATAATTGATTTTCTTGAACCTGAAGGACTATCAAAATTAACCTTTGAGGTACTTGTCAGCATTTATCATGATTGATTATATGCACAACAGTTAGATGACTCTGAAAGAAAAATCAAATTAATTAAAATTGAATTCTGTAGTATTTACACTACATTGCTCTGTTGCTAATACTATTGTAGCCATAATAAAACTATTGCTATGGTGACCACCAAGGTTGGTTAGAGTCCCACTTTTAGTAATATTCTAATTTAAATATATAAAGAGTGGAGACTATAAATAGTCTCCTTTTCTCAAGGACTTAAAATTTCTCCATATTCAGTTTGTTTGACTATTTACTTGAGTATCAACCACAAGGATATATGACTTTATTACACACATTTTTTCAAAAATAATAACAGACGATAAAAAATGTGACAAAGAAATTAGAAATAGCAAAAGGTGCCTTCCAAAAGCTAAGTAAAGTATTAAGAAACAGAAAAATGTTTTTAGAGACAAAGAAAAGACTAGTGAAATCATATGTAATATTATTTCTTCTATATGGAAGCAAATGCTGGACAATTTCCTCATAGATGAAGAGAAGACATGGAGCAACAGAGATGTGGTTCTACTGAAGGATACTGAGAATACCACGGATGGAACATGTGAACAATGGGGAAGGGAAATGGGAATTAAAAGGATGCATGTGCTTAGAATCAGAAAGAGTCATTTGAAAGTTTTGGGATACATAATGAGGAAAGAGGGTTTGGAGAATTTGACACAGGCAAGAGAGGCAGGAGATAATGATCTTATGCAAATGGATGGCAAAACAGAGACTGGAATGGAATGGAAGGAGACAAATATTACTTAGAGCTGCAAAGGATAAGAAGTTGTGGAGAGTAATCCTCCCCCACATCCTAAAGGAACATGGCTCATAAAAGAAAAACATTAAAATAATAATTATGGCTATGAAGGCAGAATTTGAATTTGAATTTGAATTTACTACCTCCAACTGCAATAATTTTATTTTCTCATGTGAATAAATTAATTTACACCAAATCAAAACTATTTTAGTTTGAAACTTTAATGCATATGATTAAATAAGGAACAAGTCAGAGAACTTTTATAAATTTGACATGTTTCACTATTTATGTAGCTTCATCAGAAATTTTGGGGAATGAGGATAAAATACAGAGTTGTTTTTAAATTTTGAATTCATATGCTATTTGTATTTCATTGATTGTGTTCATGTATTGTGTTGTCAGTATGCATGTGTGTGTAAAAATATTAACTCATCCACAAAGAAGAAAATGAAAGGGAGATAATAAAGCAGATAAAGTGAAAATCCAACAAATTATTGGCATGTTTGAACACCTCCACCCCGACCCCAAAGTTCCCCAGTTTCATTTTAAGGGTATTTATGCATAAGTGAATATAACAAGAATGGATCTCAGTTCTCCTGTTTCAAATTCCAAGCCATTATACATTATACCAGCTGCACATCAAAACCTTGTATTCACAAGTGGTCAACCATCTAAGTACTAATCAGCTTCGATATTGCTTAACCCTGGTGATCAGATGAGAACTGGTGTTTCAACATGTTATGGCCATAAGCCTAAAAAGAATAAGAAAGAAAAAGAAAAATAGGAAGACAGAATAAAAAAAAAAAAAGAAAAAGAGAGAAAGAATTAAAATTGTGAAGAAGATAAAATAGAGAAATTATAAATAAATCTGACAGACTTGGATGCAGGAAGGTTGAGTGTTGAAAAAGAAAAAGAAGAAGAAGAACCGTTTAGACATGATGAAGAAATAAAAGAAAAAAAAAACAAAAGCGGCAAAGAATTATTTCTAAAGCAATTAAGTTAATGCTTTCAGTGTTTTCAGAAATGCTTTTGTTTGCTGAATAAGTCTGCTTTGCTTATTTATTTCTTTTGTGTCTTCTTTTCTTTATAGTTCGGTGTTTCAATAGGATTGTGAAAAGACTAATGTCCACTTGGCATCAGAATCCCTTAAGACTTGTACAAATCTAACATTCCAATTTCAATTTCAACAAACAAGTTACCAAACTTGTACTGATGCCAGAACCACTTACACTGTAAATCTCTCTAGCACAAATTAATATTAATAGAAATAATTATTACAATTGCCACTATGGTATAACATAGAACAATATGACCATTATAACTGCCACTATTTAGAAGTAATGTGTTACGACATCATTATCAAAAAATGTCCGTTTTTCTTGACAATTTTCTATAGTATTCATGAAGATTTAGTTATAAACTTCTAAGCAAAAAAATAAATAAAAAGTGGGGCCAAAAAACAACTGGTACAATATTGGTCAGGAAATAACCAATGATAAACCTTTTCATTTCTTTTAAATATTTAAGCCTTGTTGGTAAACATGGGGACAGTTTTTATAGAAAGGAGAATCAATGTTGTTCCATTCAATGTTGTAATATAGCATAAAAACAAATAAGTAACTTATTATGGGATAGATTTTCCCTTTGATCTCTTGAAATGTTGTGGGTAAACTTGTGGACAGCTTTTTATAGAAAGAAGAGTCAATGTTGTTCCATTATAAGCTTCAAACAGTTGATTCCTTGTTAATTTGTGTTTCATATGAGATGAATTATTCTATATAGGGTCCAAATCTGAACTCCAACAAGACAGAAATATAAGCCTGATGTTTTCAAACCATATTTTTTTGTTTTATCTTGGTGAAAAATATATGATTATGCATGTTTAGAAAACAATTTTCAATTGTGGGAAGCAGATCTTTCTGACCTATTTATTTCAAAATATTAAGTGAATATCTGTCTATATTTTTGGGATGAGGTATTATGTACATTATTTACATTATTTGGACTATTGTCCTCATCTTTGTCACCATATTTATTACAACGTTTCGGCCGTTGTATGCTCCGGCCTTCTTCAGGTGATTGGAATGTCGAACTTAACCCTTTATTTTGCTCACTGGGGTAGACTGTTCTAGTTCCACGTGCCATGTTTAATGGATGTCAGTTATCAGTTATCTCCTGTTAATTCCCTTCTGAAAGTTCTCCACTGCTTTAACTGGGTATTGAACTCACACTCTTTGGATCCTGTTACTGGATCCAACCAACACCTTTATCCACTGTGCCATGTGTCCTTGATGATAAAGGCGTTGTAATATGAGATGTGGTAAAAATTCTGCAATGATAACAGTAAAAATTGCAATATGAGCACTGGTAAAAATGGTTGCTGAAGACATTACATTTATAATACCCAGAAATTCACACACAGATGTCCTTAAGGAAACATGGCACAGTGGATAAAAGTGTTAGATCCAGTGACAAGACCCAAAGAGTTGTGAGTTCAATACCTGATTATGGTGGTGGAGAACTTGGAGAGGGGAATTAACAGGAGATAACTGATACCTGACATCCATTACACATGGCTTGTGGAACTAGAATAATCTACCCCAGTGAGCGAAATAAAGGGTTCAGTTTGACATTTCAACCAGAGTGTACAACGGCCAAAATGTTGTGATAAATATGGCAACAAAGATGAGGATGATAGTCTGAGCAATGTAAATAGTGTACATAATACCTTATCTCAGAAATATAGGCAGATCTATTTTTAGATATAGTGAAATTTTGGTTTACTTGTTATTATTTATTTATTTTTATATCCCTACAGAGCCACATCTCTCACATCAACTCTTTTCTGCATTTGTGGAGAGATTGAGATTTGCCACTCTATAGGAGATTTGACATTACATTACAGTCGCTAATTTGATTTGAAGGACATTTCTTGGTTCGTTAATATCATTCTCAATTTCTGAAAAGTGTCCTTTATTATTCATATGCATCTTTGAATTCCTGTGTTACACTGACTATTATCTGTTACTATCATCTCCTTGTAGTTAAATTATGTATTCCATCATTTTGGAGTTAATGCTTAGTCATGTCTTATTTTCATTGTATTATTGGATTATCATGTTTGAAGTTTTTGGTGTGTGCATATTTATTAAAGTATAAAATTACAATGTAATTAGGAAAAACATTTAGCATGATAGAACACAAGGAAAGTTGGTTCTCGATGTTGTGCCAGAAAATTTTTCTCACCCGAGTCCATCCTTCACATTTATAAATCAACCATTCACCCTTGCATGAAATACTGCTGCCATATATGGTCTGGAGCCCCTGATGTTCATCTTAAGGTCCTCAACAAAATCCAGAGACAGATATGCAATGTGACTGGCCCTGACCTGGCATCTTGTTTACAGTTGCTCTCACAGATGTGCCATCACTTCCCTCTGTCTTTTCTACAAATACTTTCACGGTAACTGCTCCAGCAAGCTACTTTCGCTAGTTCCCAAACTGCATGAATTTAAACGTATAGATATAGGTTGGCATCTCAGTCCCACCCTTTCACTGTCAAAACGGTTAAATGTAGCTATCTCTTCTACTCAAATATCTTCATGCCTTGCACTTATCATCTGTGGAACTCTCTTCCTCTTACTTGCTTCCCTCATAGCTATAATCTCCAACTATTCAAATGCAATATCAATCGACATCTCCAGATGCCTTGATCTATTCCCTGTTCTGCTCTTCATTCTTTCCTCCATCACATCTCTTTACTGTTGCTCCCATTCTCTGTAATCCCTTGCCTGCTAGAGATACTAGTGCCTTGCTTGGGGTAAAATGCTTAAAAAAATGATATTCACATACAAAAATGAAGTCAAAGAATGTTATTCAATTTGACACAAAATAAATTTAATTGTTAGAAAAATACAATAATTTTATATGCCAAGGAGGCTAATGTGAAAGTATTTTTTTTAAGTGTTTCAGTGTTCATAAGTTCTTTCTTCTTTAATTTGCCATGTCCTCTCTGGACATCGGCGGTCATGACTCTCCACAACTTTCTGTCCCTTGTAGCTCTTAGAAAACTATCTTTCCTTCATTTCTCCAAAGCCCCATTCCATCATCCATTTACCCAAGCTCATCAAGTATGTTGTGCGCTGTTTTCATCTGTCTGTCTTGCCCTCTATCTGTTCCATGAATGTTAGATTTTCCAAATCTCCTTCCTTATTATGTACCCCAGAAAACTTAACTGTCTCTTCCTATTAGTTTCCTTTTTCTTTAATTTTCTCCAAAACTTTGACGTTACTCACATTTTCGGTTCACGGAATCCTGAGCATTCTTCTGTAAAACCAAATTTCTGTGCTTCAAGTCTCCTTTTCGTCTGTGAGGAGATTATCTAGTACTCACTGCCATACAGGAGGACAGATATCATGTAGCAGTTTAGTACTCGTTTCTTTGTTTCTTGCAAATTTTCCCTATTTCTTAGTATTCCACTTAGCTTTTGGGATGCTATCCCAGTATATCTTTGGATCTCAGTGTTGCTCTTTCTGCCATCTATTAAAACACTTCCCAAATATTTAAATTTCACACTTGTTTGATTTTGGTACCTCCGATTTGCAATTTGCACTTTGGGCTCATCCATTTGCTAACAACCATGCATCCTGTTTTCTTGCGGTTGATGTTTAATCCTTTTACTTGCTTTCCTTCATTACCTTCTGTAGGAGTTTTTGTAGCTTTCTTTCTGTCTCTGCTATCAACACTGTGTCATCTGCATACCTTATATTGTAAAGAATGTGGCTGCCAATAATAAATCCTGGTAGGACTTCTATTTCTCTCAAAATTGCCTCACTGTATAGTTTGAATAAGTCTGGTAAGAAGACATATCCTTGTCTTACAACCTTTTCTATTTTTGTATATCTGCTGAACTCATTTTCTATCCATATGCAAGCAGTTTTCTGCCAGTATAGAATATCGATTATTCTAATATCCTTCCCAAATATATCATGGTTGCTGAGCGGTTCCAACATTTCTTTGTAGCATAACATTAAATTAAATTACATTATTCTTGAAAGAAAAGTTATTAATTCTTTTCTTTATTTTTTCCTTTTACAAAATATGAAAGTGATTAAAGTTCTACAAGATACAGGAGGCAAACTAACATTCAGATATTGTGTTGATAAGGAATATTTATGTTAGCATGTGTACTCGCTCTGTAAATGTATGACAGAAGGACAAAGAAGGATAGTAAAGGGTAAGAAATTTCTTAAAACAACAAAAGATAGCAAACTGGCATGGTGGAGTAATGGATAGTGGCTCAGATTGAGAAATCGGAGAGCTGAGTTCAAGTTCCAGTTGGATCCATTACATTCACTTTCATGCTAATATCTTTGGGAAAGGTGTGAATACTCTTCTTCTCACCTCAGCAAGACAGTCTGAGTTCTTTAGCCTTGGGTGGCAACTGGTCTAGGAGAAAGTAACTCTGAATTCCAAACTGTATCTAACCCTGGCATAACACATATTATACAGTTAAAAAAAAGGATTGTTCATATTGTCTCAATGATCCCGACTATGGTCGAATGATGATAATGGTTATGATTGTCCCTGTTCTGATAGGATGTAGGACATAAAATAAAACATTATTATTATTATGCTCTGCAAAAACTTACATCAATAAAATAGATTCTTATAAAGTAAAATAAAATTACATGATTTATGTAAGAAATAAATGAAAGAAAGAAGATAAAAAAAGTATGAATCGATAAAT